GACTGGTCCCTCCCTAAGGGATTCAGGGTTATAGTTGCTGTCGTTGGGGGTTAGAGTTAGTCTGGCAAGATTCTGTCTAGTAGGTGTAAGCTAATAAAGTGACTGAGCTGTTCCTGGACTGTCTCATTGTGGTTCCTGGGCTGAACCTGACATCAATCTCGCCACTCCTACTCCCATTAGGAGAGAGGAAATTCTCAGCATGGCAATGGACCCCCAGGGAACTAATCTGACACCACAGCTTTTGGCGGCAGCATTATTACAACATCAACAACAGATAGATGCCCGGATAAATAATTTACAATGATGATGGCCCAAATGGCCCAGCAACTCAGGCAAACTGGGCAGAATGTTGCAGCAGCCCCACTGCTGTTGTTGCGCTCTCCTGGAAGCATGCCAGAGAAGTATGGAGGTGAAGCAGAACAGATGAGAACTTTCCTGGCACAGTGTGAGTTGTTCACAGATGGAAGACCAGCGGAGTTTCCTATGGACTGTATGAGGGTGTCCTTTGTGCTGAGTTTATTGAAGGGATCTGCTGCTAAGTGGGCGACCCCCTTAATAGAGGCTGATGATCCAGTGCTCAACAACTATCAGAATTTCGTCGGCGCCTTTAGGGGACATTTTGGGGATCCAATACAGAGACTAACTGCTTGTCGGGACGTTTGCAAGCTCAAGCACGGTGGCAGGCCGATAAGGTTGTACATCGCGGGTTTCAAGTTGCTGGTGGGGGATGTCGAGTGGAATGGCACAGCTCTCATTGACCAATTTCGGGAGGGACCCCGAGCTTCCCTGTGAGCTGATAAAGCAGGGTATTCCAAATACTCTGGATAATCTCTATCAGCTCTGTATAGTAATTGATGCCAGGCTGGAAGACTTAAAACAGTATTTGCCTTCTAATCCCCTTGGTGCCTTGCAGTCTCCTCTGGTAGTTATCTCTCCTCCTTGTGGCGCAACAGCCGAGTTAGCGGAGGGGGAGCCGATGCAAATCAGAGCTGCTAGAAAGGTAGTTTCAGGGGAGGAGAGGCAAAAGAGGAGAGATCTGAACCTCTGTTTTTACTGCGGAGCCCCAGGCATATGGTGAAAGCATGCCCAGTGAGGAACGTGCCGGCGGGGATCAGGCACATACAGCAAACCTCTGCCAAGCATGCAGGTTCAGTCCCGGTGCCACAGCAGGGAAACTTCCATAGCCCCTCTTCAGAGCTCGTGGGGGCAGCCATCAAGCAATTAAGGAGAGCTCATTCTGGAGACTACAAGCAGGTGTTTATGCTAGCTCCCATTACAGTAACCTTGGATTCTGGCTGCAAGATAGAGTTAGAGGCTCTTATAGACTCAGGGGCTACCACGAACTTCATAGATATTCAAACTGTGCTTAAGTGGCAGTTGCCTATAGTGGATTTAAAGAAACCCATGGAGGTAGAGACTATAGACGCCCAGCCGTTGAGCGCGGGTCCAGTGATGCAGTCTACGGTGCCCCTGCAGTTGACCATCAGCGATCATACAGAGCTTTTGCCCCTGTGCGTTATGGCGTCATTACAGGTGCCGGTGGTGTTAGGCACTTCATGGCTTAGACTACACAACCCTACTACAGACTGGAGTGCGGGGACAATCTCATTTTCCTCTCCTGTCAGCACCACAAGGCACAGGGGGCCATCCTCCCCATTTCCAAAGGAAACATCCAGGAGGGGGGAGGGGGGTTACGTGCCAAATATGCTGATTTTGCAGATGTTTTTGGAGAGGAGGAGGCGGAGAAGACCCACCAGGTGTTGCAGAAATATTTGTGATGCTACGCCACATACAGCCAAGACAATTGGACTGTACTTCTCCCCTTGGCAGAGTTCTCCTATAATAATTCTGTGCACTCATCAATTGGGATGTCCCCTTTTCAGGCATTGTACAGGGTGAACCCACAGGTGTTACCGAAGACCATGCCACAAGGAGGGGTGCCGGGTGCAGTGCATTTTCTTAAAGAGCAGCAGGCAGCTCAGCAGCTATTGAAGGACCAGCTGGCAAGGGTGAAAGAGGCGTGCAAGAGGTCAGCTGATGCCCGCAGGCAGAGTGGTTGGCAGATTTCAGTGGGGGACAAGGTGTGGTTGTCTACTAGGTTCTTAGCTTCCACCAGGCCCTTTAGAAAATTGGACTCTAAGTTCGTTGGGCCTTTTAAGGTGTTGCAGTAAGTACGTAAACCAGGTGGCTTTCCATTTGCAGTTGCCACCTTCAGTGAAGGTCCATCTTGTGTTTCACCGTTCTTTGCTAGTTAAAGAGGCTTCACCAAGTCCCTTGAGAACACAAGTTCCCCCACTCCCACCGGTCATAGTCGAGGGAGAAGAGGAATACGAGGTGGAAGCAATTTTGGACTCTCGCAGGAGAGTAACAGGAGTTCAACATCTGGTTCATTGGAAGGGCTATCCTGAGGAAGAGCATTCCTGGGAAAATGCGAAGAACATCCATGCCCCGGAGTTGGTCAGTGACTTCCATCAGTGTTTCCCCAATAAGCCGAAGCCTGGCATGCTGCCCAGCGCTCTAGAGGTTAAACAGCAAGCGGAGAGTGTTGACAGTGAGCTGGAGGAAGGTTTGGTGGGGGCCGTGGGGTCGGAGAGGGCTGGTGCACAGAGCCCGCAGCCTTCCACTTCCGGTTTGCATTTTGTAGCGGGGAGGGGAGCTGATTCTACTAATGATATAGCTGTTTTGTAGAGCCAATCGCCTGAGCTGGGAGAGGTGCCAGGGATCGCAGACAGAGGCTCATCACCTGCGCTCCCATCTTTATCACCACTGCCCAGCTCCCACGAGAATTCAGAGGGGGAGGCTGAGTATGAGGAGGGGTTGATGTGATGGAAGGCATGAGCAAGGAGGATCCTGGAATGGGGAGGGACATTCCAAGCATCTCCTTGGCCCCCAGCCAGAGCGTGTGAAAGTGAAGAGAAGGAGACTGGCCCCTCCGTAAGGGATTCAGGGTTATAGTTGCTGTCATTGGGGGTTAGAGTAAGTCTGGCGAGATTCTGTCTAGAAGGTGTAAGCTAATAAAGTAACTGAGCTGTTCCTGGACTGTCTCATTGTGGTTCTTGGGCTGAACCTGACAGTAGCTGAGCTTGAGCTTCAGTATCAATCCTTCCAATGAGCAATCAGGGTTGATTTCCTTTAGGATTGACTAGTTTGACCTTCTAGCAGCCCAAGGGACTCCTAAGAGTCTTCTGCAGCACCACAATTCAAAGGCATCAATTCTTCGGCACTCAGCCTTCCTTATGGTCCAGCTCT